TGACCATTCTGTGATCCTAAACAAACTATTTCTCTTTTTGCCCTCAGTCTTCCCATCCATAAAAGGGGGCTGAACTAGATGGTATCTGAGGTCCTTTTAGGTTTACATGCCCCCATTATCTGCTCCACATATAGTTAACCCTTTTATGCAGTTCAAAGGCCAGTATATCTGGAAAATCCTATATTCTGGTGAAAAAATTTACCACCTTTTTTTTTTTGCTTCTATTTCAGAGGATAGAAGACAATAAAATATACCCTACACTGCTCAACAGAATAGACTTCACCTTGGGTGTCTCAGAAGCCATTCTGGAATTCTACAAAAACACTGCATATCTATTTTTTAAATGATAAGATACTAGAGGGTCTGCTAAGCTTCACAGGGTTGGATTGAAGATGTGATGAGCAGATGAATATAAGCCATGTGGTACTGTCCTGGCACTCTTTAGGTGCCCATGACCATGACCGTGCATAGCATGGCTGCTACAGAATAATCATTTAAGGTGCCTATTTGCTGAGAATTTAAATTGATAAAATTCATTGAAATTCACTGAATATCGGGCTTTTCTGGTAGGCAGAACTTTCAGATAATTCAGACACAATTAGCTGCTTAGGGGTCCTCTATGTACCATATGAGGTATACCATATGCCATTATCACAAATTCTTTTCCACCCGTATCGTTTATATGAACAGGTGCACACTGTAAAATGTGGCCCGGGTGGTTGGATGGGGGCAGAGCTTTCAAGTGGAAAGGCATTTGGGGGAAGGTGTTGCCCGGATCAGACTTCTAACCTTCCTAAATAAAACTGGAATTTACAGTACAGTATTTTCTGCACAGAGACTCAAATTCTATAACTCTTTACTTCAGAACTTGTTGGGGGAGGTGGCGTACTGGCTCTTGTCACATAAATATCTATAATAGCAGTGCCTGTCCTGGGCTTGCTGGATTTGCCGTATTTCAGATTGTCATCAATTACGTGCACCACAAGATGGTATTGCCGCTGCGGTTCAGCTCCAGACTCAAACTTAAAAGGATTCTTCACGATCAGTTTTGGAGTATTTGAACCTCGAATTGGATCAAACCCAAAGTGATGGTTCTCATTTCCTTTAAAAGGGATAATTGAAAAATCAGAATCATATTAAGATACATTGATCTCCTCAAGCAATTTTAAATTAGTATTTTAACCCCATAAGGGTTAAAATAAATTTCCATTGTATCCTGAATTCCCAAATCTATACATGGCTTTTAATAAAACTGAGATAAAAATAAGCAATAAACGTAGTTGGTTAGAGAATACATTTTCAGGTTAAGATCATAAGTCTGATGTCCACACATGGCTAGCAAAGCTCACGCTAATGTCTAGCAATCCCACCTACCTTATTCCTCTTCCTTAATCTTCTACTCAGAGCTATTTCATTTATATGTCTATCTAGGTCAGTATCAAATGAACCAGTCAAACCACAGAGTATCTATAGATTCCCCTAAGTTGAAGTCTTCCCTATGGCCTTGGGGACATTTTTTTTATAAACAAGATGCACATGGTCCCTTTCTTCATGGAGCTTATTAAGTTATGAAGCAAGGGGAATAGATATCAAAGTAGTCCTCTTAATTAATTGGCAATGTGTTTACTGATCTCCAGGGCTCCTGTTCTTTTAGACAAATGAGGCAGATGTGGCCTCTGTGCTTTAAATTGGTCTCTTTTTTATGATGGTTCACAGTAACAAGTAACTTTTTTTTTTTTGGTACTGGGGATTGAACTCAGGA